AAAATAATAAATAAAAATATATAAATATATATTTATTTATTTATTTATTTATTTATTTATATATTTTTTTTTTTTTTCTAAATTTAATAATATTTTTTATATTATCTTTATCTAATCTTTAATTAAAAATTATAAATATCTTTTTATCTTTCCATATAAAATAAATATCCATTATATAAATGAAAGTTTTTGATTCAATTTAAATAAATTAATAACCTTTAGATAAATAATCTGATTAAAGTAAATCATAAACTTAACATTTACTAGATTTTTAGCAAATATAAAAATTAAGTAATTTACGAGAGTCTTTTTACCAAAAAAAATACTCCTATTTACCAACTCATGAAATCATATACATTGAAACTTAACCCGAAGTAGGAGAAACCTACAAAAAATATTATACGAAATATAAACGATTATAATAAGGAATATTAATAAGCTTTTTTTTATTTATATAATATTTTAATGAATATATTAAGTAAAATTACCTAATTTTTCGGAAATTTTTGTACATCTTTAGAAGAAAAATATGGCTCTGAAAACGTGGGATACTTTTTATGTATAATATATAATATTTTTGAAGTAGGTACAGGTTTTCATATAAAAACTCATCCAAATATTGACGTATATTATATTTTATTTATAAGAGGATTAATATCTGCTATAGGAATAATAATATTAGCTGACATAAAAGAGAAAAGATTATTTATATTTCCTAAAAAAGATATGTAGATTCTATTTATAAGAGGTTTTTCAGGATCATTTGCTTTTTCTTTTTATTAATATTCTATTACTAAAATTCCTTTTTCAGTATCATTTATTTTAGGAAATACTAAACCTATATTTGTTTTTATTATTGGATATTTATTATTTGATGGAGATTTAAATATGTAAAATACTATTGGAATTATTATTTCTTCTCTTGGTTTAATTTTAGTAACTAACCCTGATTTACTTTTTGATGTTGAAAAGAAAAAGAATCTTTCTAATAATCATTTTGAGAATTTAGAAGGATTTTATAAAGGAATATTGATTATTACTATGCTTTTTGCAAATGCTTTTTGGGCATTTGGAATTCTTTCAGTAAAAAAACTTAAAGAAGCTAATAGCTATTCTATCAATTTTTGGGTTTCTTTTTTTATTACTTTCATGGCAGCTATTTGCTTAATTTTTAGAGGTGTAGATATTTTTAATTATTCTTATTGGGATACTTTTGTTACTTTTTTAATTTAAGGTTTTTTAACTTTTTTTTGTATATTATTTAATTAATATTTTAGGTTTTTTTGGATTTCTTAGTTAATTTATATTTATTATGTCTTTTTTTTAAATTAAAATCATGGAAAACTTACTATAATTTGCTATTTGTAGGTTGTTTTGTCTTTTTTTGTATAAATATTTATATTTTAGGAGCCAGTTTTACTTTTGGAAATATTTGGTGCTATTTTAGTTATTTTTGGTATTTTAAAAGTTATTTTTAATTGAACATTCAAAATTAAAATAAAATATTATTATTTATATTTAAAAATAATATGTTTTTTATATTATTTAATAATAAAAAATAAAATTACTAATTTATAAAATAATAATATGAGAAATATAATATAAAAATCATTATTTATTTTAGTCCATTTAAATTAATTTTTTTCAAAAAATTTTGCATTTTAAAATAGTATTTCCTCAAATAAAAAGTATGATAACTATAGTAATATTATTTTTCTCAATAAAAATAAAGTTTAATTCACAATGTTATATCCTAAGTATTAACAAAAGAATATAAAAACTTGAAAATTAATATTTATTTATAATAAAAATTTTAATATTTCCCAGTTTATCTTGTATAAAACCATTATTATTTAATACTCCGATTTCCTAAATATATATCCTATTAAAAAATTAATTTTAAAAATTATCTACTATGGCATTGGCTTAAATAATCAGAAAATTCCCTTAATATTTTGCCTCTGATTAATTTTACTCCCTTAAGGCCATAAAAATTATTGATAAACCTTAAGAATGACCTTTATATAGTCTATTAGTCTATCTTGAAAAATCAAGTTTTCTTTACAATATGTTTGAAAGCAAGAGGAAGGTTTTAATTACCCATGTCTTAAGATGTAAATTCCCAAAATAAGAGGCCTTCATTAATATTAATTTATATGCGGTTTCTTAAGAGTATATTTCCTCTTGCTTTTCCTAAACATACATTGATTTGCAAGTACAAATCAAATGTTTTCAAAAGAATATCATAATTATCAAAAAAATCGTGATATAAGTATACTAGAGGTTCTCCATAAGTTATTGTAGAGTTTTTTTAAAAATTTGGTAATATTTAAAGACGTATTCGTTAGATGGTTTTATTTTATTTTATTTTTAAAAATTAGATTTTATTAGTGTAGAAAAAAAATTAGAAATAATAATAATTTTTTTATAATTATTACTTTATAGTTTAAATTTATTATATTTTATTTTTGTATTATTATTTTATTTAATATCTATTATTATAAAATTATTTTTATATGTATTTAAATATATTTTCTTTTTTTTATAAAAGTTTTGGAAAAATTAAAATTTAATTTTATTTTTAAAAATAAATAATATAATTATAAATTTAAATGTTTTTTAATTTATTTTTGTTAAAAATAATATAAATACAAATTTAAAAAAATAATATTTATAAAATCATTTATAAAAATTAAAATATACAAAGGCTAAAAATATTTTCTTTAAAAATCTATAATATTTTTTTTTCTAAATTAAAAATATATAATATTTATTTTAATTAAAAAAATTATTATAATAAAAAAAAATGCAAAATATTAAACAAGATTTTTGTATAAAAAAAATATATAAAAAATAATATAGTTTATTAATTATGATGGATTTTTATCTGTATGATTAATGATTTTAAACAATCACCATCTTTCGACTGATTAATTAATATTACTATTATTTATTATAAAATTAAAAATTATATAAAATTATATTTTTATTTATATTTATTAAATATTTAAAAATATGAACATATAATGAAAATGTTATATTTATAATATTTCTTTTTGAATTAAATATTTAATAATAAATATAGTATTATATCAATATCAAATTCAATTGTAATTAAAATTTATTAAAAAATTATTAAATAAAATAATAATTTTTATAATTATATATAGAAAGACAAAAATAAAAGAAAAATGAATTATATTTAAAAAATAGTGTTTTTGTTTATATAAATTTATTTAATAAGAAGCTTAAATAAATTTTTAAATTATATTTGTAAATTATAACAATATTAATAATATAAACAATAAAAAAATATATAATTTAAAAAATATTTAATATTTTATTAGATCAGAGAAAAAAAATTAAATATAAAAATTACTTTAAAATAAATAAATATAAAATCTTTAATAAAATTAAAAAAAGTAAATAAAATGGTCCAAAAAATTGAAGAAGAAAATAATTAAAAAAACAAAAATAAAAAAAATGTCTTAATCAACGATTTAGTAAAATTATAAAAAAAAAAAAAAAAAAAAAAAAATAGAGTGAAGAAGATTAAAAATTAAAAGATAACATTGAATAATGGGTTTAGAAAATTCAGAATAAAGATACTTAAATATCTTTATTAGCTTTATAACAATTAAGAGAAGAAGTAAGAAAATCTACTTCTTCGATGACATCAGTTCCAAAACCTTTAAAATTTTTAAAAGATCATTACGAATAATTAGTTGATTATTACGAAAAAACAAATGAATCTGAATTTAAAGTAATTAAAAAAAATAAAAAAATAAAATAAAAAAATAGAAATAATATGCAGATTTTCTATCTGTAATATCAATGACAATGACAGAAAAAGGAAAATAATTATCACTTAAGTATATTTAAGAAGGAACTTTAAACGATTTAAACAATTGGGGTTTTGAATATTTAAACCATTTATCAGCAGACATAGTTTAAAAGTAAATTATATTTATATATATATATAAAACATAAAAAAATAAATAAATAAATAAATAAATAAATAATTATATAAATTATTTAATTTTTAAATATATGAAATTTTATTTTTATTACATTTATTTTTATAGATACTAATAAAGACTTGAAAAAAATGAAAATGTTATGGATTTAATAAATTTAGTTATGTAAATAGTACCTTATTTTATATAAAATAATGCTGAACATGATGCTATTGATCTTTTAATGGAAGTAGATAAACTAGAACAATTATAAACTGTATATAAAAAAAAAAAAAAAAAATTTAAAAAAAATAGTATGTTAATAAAGAAAATTTTGAAAGAATTTCTTTGTATTTGTAATAATGTTCTTAATATTGTGCTGATTTCGAAGAAATGGAAAAAACTTTAAATGTAAATTACACAATTTCTATTAGCTTAAAATTATATATTAATGCTTTACGAATTGCCATTCGTTTAGATAACTAAGATAAAATTGAAAAAATTTTTAAAGAATGTCAAGATGACTTAACAAGAAAATAATTATGTTTTATGGTAGCTCGTTAAAGAATTATATTACCTAATTTAGACGAATAACTAACATAAATAGCATCTAATTCCTTTTTAACGGACTTTTATATGCGTTTGGCTAAAGAGTTAGATGTCTTAGATCCTAAAACACCTGATCAGATATATAAATCACATTTAGAAGATTAAAAGTAAAACTAAATAGAATCTGCAAAAGCAAATTTAGCTGATACTTACGTGAATGCATTTGTACATTTAGGTTGTAAAAAAGATGCTTTGATGATAAAAGAATTAAGTTAAAAAGATTCTGCATGGATATATTAAGTCAAAGGTACAGGACTTACTGCTGCCACAGCATCATTAGGAGTCATAAATATGTGGGATGCTGAAAAAGGAAACGATCACATGTCTGAATATCTTAATATGTCGGATGGATATGGAAAAATGGGGGCTTTAATAGGAATAGGATTGTTTTCAAGCGGAGTTATAAATGAAGATGATGTAGCAAAAGCTTTATTAGAGGCGGAGTTAGAAAATAAAGATGAATATACAAAATTAGGTGCTGTTATTGGATTGGGATTAGCTTATGCAGGTAGTGGAAGAGAAGATTTATAAGAATTGCTTTTACCAATTTTAATTGATAATAATAATAAATTATAGCTAAATGCTTTTGCTGCACTTAGTTTAGGACTTATTCACGTAGGAAAGTGTAATGAAGATATTAGTTAAGCTATTGTTTAAGTTCTATATGAATATTCTTAAAGTACTCCTAAAGTACTTGAATCATATCTTACAAAATATTTTGCAGTAGCTATGGGATTACTTTATTTAGGATAATAAAGTAGATCAGATACAGCTATTGAATGTTTAGGAATTATTGAACATGATATTTGTATATATATTAAAAAAAAAAATAGAAAGTTATATATATATATATATATATATATATATATATATATATATATTTATATTTATATTTATATTTATATTTATATTTATATTTTTATATTTAATATATTTATTTTTTAGCTAAATTCTGTTAGATAGTTATTGAAGGATGTGCCTATGCTGGAAGTGGAAATGTTCTTAAAGTTTAAAAAATGTTACATCATTGTTTAGATAAAGTTGAAGAAGATAAAGTAAACGAATATTCTTTTATAATAATTTTTTTAAAAAAATATTAATTAATAGTCTGCTTATTAATAAGCTGCAGTTATTTCTCTTGCTTTAATTAGTTCAAGTGAAAATGTCGGAAATGAAATGGCAATGAGACATATGAATAATATTTTGTAATATTGCGAACTGCATGTAAAAAGAGCAGTTCCTTTAGCATTAGCTATATTGAATGTATCTAATCCTAAAATTAATGTTATGGATTTACTTATTAAATTTAGTCATGATGATGATGCTGAGCTTAATTAAAGAGCAATTTTTGCTATGGGAATGGTTAGTGCTGGTACTAATAATTCTAGAATGGCTGATAGTTTAAGAAATTTATCATCATATTATATGAAAGAAAGTAATGGTAAATTCTTTGTAAGACTTGCTTAAGGATTATTATATATGGGAAAGGTATTTTTTTAATAATATATTTAGATAAAATATATATTATTTTATTCTTATTTAAAAAAAGGGTATGGTTAGTTTATAACCTTATTATTCTGATAGATTTTTATTAAATAAAGTTGGGTTAGCCGGAATTATTACTACTGTTTTTTCATTTATGGATACTAAAAATATAATTTTAGGCGATTATCATTATACTATGTATTATTTAACACTTGCAGCTTATCCAAGAATGTTATTTACAGTAACATTATTTATAAATATATTTATTTTTTATCAATTTTTTTTGTTAAAAAATAGCTTAATGAAAACAATGAAAACATAACAATTAATATTAGAGTCGGTTAATCTGTAGACACTGTAGGATAAGCAGGAAAACCTAAAAAAATTACTGGATTTTAAACACATACTTCTCCAGTTTTAATTAGTGCAGGAGAGAGGTATATTTATAATTAATTATTTTTATCTTATTTATTTAATTTAGAGCTGAGTTAGCTGATGATGAATATATTCCTATAGAATAAACTGTTTTAGAAAACTTTATTGTGCTAAAAAAAAACCCAGATTATGTTCCTGAAGATGAAAAAAATAAAAGAAAATAATGATAAAAACTATATATATAAATATATAAAATTATGCACTTTTTTTTTATAATTCGAAAAATAAATAAAACAAAAAAATATAATAAAACAAAAAAATTTTAATTGTTTTTATAGAATTTTTTATAAAAAAAGAAATATTTTGTTTCAAACCACTTTTAATTTAATTTAAATTTCAAAGTAATTTTTTATTTTAGTTTTCATAAATGTGTGGTTAACAAATATATATTTCATATAAAAAGAAAATTATTTGTTAATAAAATAATTTTTAATACTATAAAAATATAAATTTAAGTTTATTAATATGCGAATAATTTTTTTTTTTTAGTCAATTATTTTTGTTTTAGATAAATAAATTTAAAAATTAAATTATTTAAGGCTAATATATTTTTATAATACTAATTTTTATAAATCAAAATGTTGTTTAGTAATATATAAACAATTAAAAAAATATTTAATATGAGAACTATTTTTAGAAATTAAAAATACATGTAACTTTAATTAAAATTTTGTAATAGATTATATTATTTAATAATAAATTATATACCTTAATTTAATAAATTATTTATAAGTAAATTTTGCTAGGTCAGAATATATCAAAAAAATAATATAAAATTATTAAATTAAATGAAACACTATTCATTTTTTTAAAATAATAATAATAATTAAAAAGATAATAAAAAAAAAAAAATACCTAAAATAAATATAATGAGCATTTATTTAAGTTAAAATTTATGTAATTCAAATAAATTAGAAGATACACAATAATAATAATATTAATAATTTTAATTAAAATAATAAAATGTAGAAGAAGATTTATAATTTCCAAATTCTTACCAAAACGTATAATTAACATTAATAAATGACTAAACAAATGTGAAATTAAATATCTAAAATTTTCAAATTTAATTATATAATGATTAGATAAATATGTCTAATTTAATTTAGTAATTAATATAATAAAATTTCTTACTTTATAATTGCCCATTATTTTGTTTTGACAATATAAAATAAATATATCTATATATTGGAAATTATCCATTTAATTAAGATGTATATATACCTTATTAAAGCTTTACCAAAGATAATACAGTATAAATCTTATATTAAAAAGTGGAACAAGATTAAAATTAAGAATCTGAAAGTTATCAATAAAATGTCAAAATACAATTAAAGAAAATTGTTAAAAAGAAAAATGAAAATATTGTTAGAAGTCTAACTAGAACCAAAGAAAGACTAATCGGAGAAGCTTTTGAAAAAGTATAATTATGGAGATAAATTCATGAAAGAGGATAAATTAATACTAAAGGCTAATAAGTAAAAACTAACCTGGATTATGTCGCTGGTTTAGTTGGTGTTTCAAGAAAAACTTTAGACGATTATTATTTATAATTTAGAAAAGCTTAATATTTGAACTTTGATTTCGAAAAATATAAAAATTAAAAAATGGGATTCTTAAGAAAATTTATTAAAGATAATTATTAAAATAAACTTTCTTTGAAGAAAAAAAAAACATCTAGTACTGATATTTAATCTGAAACCTAATTGGAGAATAACTCATAAAACTAGAATACTTAACCTATATAATATATATAATTTAATAAAGATTTTCTGTATAAAAATAGTTTATTGTTTTCTTTAAATTAAAATAATTAAATAAATAATTAATTACAAGAGAATTTGGATAACATCAATCATATTAATTTTTTAGAAAGCTAATATATAGATTCCAATATTTTTAATTTAAATAAAAGAATATAATAAATTTGATTTTAATAATAATAATAAAAAAAAAAAAAATTATTATAAATAATAATTGTTATAATATTTATATATACTTTGCTTCAAAATATAATTTATTATTTTATTTATTTATTTTCTTTAATATTAATAATTATATTTCATTTTTTATTAAATTAAATATTACTTTTAGTAAAGTTTTTTTTTTTTTGAATTTTTTTTTTAAAAACTCAATATAAGAAAAAAAGGTCATTTATTAATCTCCTTCTTTCTAGTAGATTGAGTTTTTAAAAAAAAAATACAGAAAAACTAATAATGCTTAAAAGTAATATTTTAATAATAATATTTATGTTTATATTATAAATATATATTTTATTTATTTATCATTCACTTTTCTTTTTTACTGTTATAATAGCCAATTTTTCTAAATCATATCTTTCTAATTATTTGTAAAAGTTAGGCGATATTTAAATTTTTTATTTATTAGCTATCATAGCAATTCCTTACTTTAAAGGTATTTTTTAATTATTAATCAGATATGATAAAATAAAGCATGGTCCAATGTTAATTCCATCTATATCATGTATAAATACTTTACCTCCTTAATCTATACACTTAAAAAAAATAAAAAATAAAAAAATAAAAATGCATTACTTCTTATAAAAATCTATTAGTAATTCTGAAATGCTTTTTAATATCTTCATCGCTTTTGTTTTATACATCTATATTTAAATATTTGAAATATTTTGTTCTTTTTTTATATTCTTAAGAAGTGATATTTAAAATATTTGTAATTCCTTTTTAAAGTAGCTATAAATAATTGTTTATTTTTTAAAAAAACAATAAATGAATTTAATATTTAAAAGGAACAAATTTACTTTTTTTGTGCACAGGCCATGTTAAAAACCACCCAAAAATACATTAGGAAAAATCTTTTAAAATAAAATTTTTAAAAAATAAATTAAAAAAGTTACTTCCTAAAGGTAAACTTCCTTAATAGCTATTTGGCATTATACTTCACAAGCACAAAAACTTGAATGAGGAAATCTAAAAATAAAAAAAATTAAATTAATTTTTGAAAATATTTTTTTATTAAATTTTACTTTAATATACCTTATGCAAATTGTATTTTCTTCCTCATCCCCATATTCGCTTAATCTTCCTTAACCAATTATCATTTACTGCTCTTTTTATATATTTGCATTTTCTAAATTTTATTAAGCTTCCCTTTATGTGTTTCGAGATTGCAATTATGACGAGCTTTCTCTTTTTTTCGATTTAGAACTAATACTATTTTGACTTACGATTCTTATTTATTAATTAGAGTAGGAATTTCTGGAAGCTACCCTTATTTATCCTTTCTATGATTCAACAGAACTTTGTGTTTTATAATAATTCTAATTGTTATTTTCGTCTTCTTCTTGTTTATTTTTCATATTTAAAAAAAGAAAAAAAAAATTAATAGTTTATTTATTAATTTATTTATTAAAAGTTATTTTTTAATAGTTTTATTTTTAAAACTTTGCATATTAATTATTTTTAAATTAAAATTAACAAAAGTCATATATATATATTTTAGATTCTTATAATTTTTATGTTTTAAAAACTAAAAATTTAATTATTAAAAAATAGTAGAAATCTTTATATTTTTATAATATAAATCACTAAATTTAATTATTTATTATTTTAAAACAATATATTAAATAATTATTTTAATAATTTATTAATTTCATTTTAAATTTAAAAACATTTTTGTTTTTAATTTATTAAATAATTTTAATAAATTATAATTTAAAATAAAAAAATAAAATTAATTTAATAATGTTTAAACTTTTTAATTTAATATATAAAAATAATTTTTTTAATTTTTATTTTCAAAAACAATTTTTAGATAATAATTACTTAATATATCAGTACAATAATTATTATTATCTCTTATCAAATTATATTTTAATTAATTTTTACTGGATCCACTAGAATTATATCGAATATTTTAACTCTTGCTTTTTTATTATACAGAAATCAGAAAATTTTTATAGCCTCAAACGAATAGTAAATACAATCTGATTTAAAAAAATTAAAATTAACAAAATAAAATCAAAGTAAAATTTTAATATATATTTTATGTTTATTTAAAATTGCTATATAGTTATAATAAAATAATAAATCTAATAAATATATAATACATATAATATAATTAATTATTTAAAGAAAAATACTTAAAATATTGTTAATACATTTTTTAAATTATGATAGAAAAATACGATTATTTAGTGAAATAAATAATTAGGCCATCTCGCTATTTATATAACGAAGAAGAATTAGGTAAATTAAATAATAAAATAAAACAACAAAACATACAAAAACATATTAAAGGTTTAAAAACATTATATTATAACAACTATAAATCAATCCGAATAGATTTCGACTTAAAAAACAACAAAAACTAAACAATAAAATGTTCATTATTTCAGCCATCCAAAAAAGAATAAAGGCCATATGAAATATATAAATATCCATGTGTAGTATATTGTCATGGAAATAGTGGTTCAAGAAAAGATGCATTAGACTATCTAAAAGATTTTATATCTGAGGGAATAGGCTTATGTTGTTTTGATTTTTCAGGATCAGGGATGAGTGGAGGAGAATGGGTAACATATGGATATAATGAATAAAATGATTTAGAATGTGTAGTTCAGCATTTAAAAAAAAACGAAAAAATAACCCATTTGGGATTATTTGGTAGAAGTATGGGAGGATTTATAAGTCTTTTGTATAGTTCAAGAGACGAAAATATAAAAGGAATAGTTACAGATAGTGCTTTTATAAATTTAAAATAAGTTCTTTTAGAAGTGGGTTAGTAAAAGAGTAATTTACCTTATTTTTTGCTTGAGGGGATTATAAAAATTTTAGATTTTTCTGTTTTTAAATAAGCTTTATTCCATATTCAAGATATTGATTTGAAAAACGTGCTTGGAAAAATTAAAAGCTAATGTTTATTTATTGCTTGTAAAGAAGATTAGCTTGTAAATTTCAAAAATTCTGTAGCTTTAAAATAAGGGGTAAATAAAGAATTGGGTAATTTAAAAATAATTTAAGGAGGACATAATACAAAAAGAGATGAGTTTACGAAAAAATACATATGCGAGTTTTTTAAAAAATGTTTTTTTTTGAAAAAAAAAATAGCATTTCCTTTAATAATAATTAGAAGCAGTAATAATAATAATAATAATAAAAGAAAAAATAGTCTTTTTAGAATTGTAGTTAGGAAAATAATATTCGTTTTTAAAGAAATTCACATGAAATTTTTTTAAAAATTGATTAAGATTTAATATTTAAATAGAGAAATCTTAATAAAACTAATAGTTCGGATAATAATGAAGAAAATAAAGGTTAAAGAAACATTAGTCTAACTTATTAATAAAAATATAAATAATAAATTAATTCAATTGAAAATAAATATAAATAGTTTTTAGAACTTAAAAAAGTTTAATGCAAATAATTTTATAAGAAAAATAAAGAAGAAAATAATGAAAATAATAATGATTAAAATAAAATAAGATAAACTAAACCTTTTTTTTCTTTTAGAAAAAATGAGTTTTAATGATTAGTTGAAATATAATTTATCTGATTTTAAAATATATTTAAAAAAAATGATAAAACAAAAAAAAATTATTTGTAAATTTAATTTCTTTTTATTATTATTTTTTTAAAAACTTTTATATTTTTAAAAATATATTATTTTATATTTATAATTTTAACCAAAAATATAATTTAGTTTAAATTTAAATTTATTTATTTCGATAATTTTACTATTTATTAATAAAGTTTTGTAATTCGCAAAATTTTAATTAATAAGAATTATAATTTTCTTAATTTCTTTTTATCTTATTATATATTATAAATAGTTAATTTATTTTTCTTATAAAAAATAGTATAAATATATTACAAAATTAAATTATGAATAAGTATTTTAAGTTTTTTTCTAAAGTTATTTATATTTTCTTCATCATATAAAAGTATATATTAAACACTATTTAAAACTTATATTTCATCATATATAACTATAATTAATGCTACTTACATTATTTAGGCTATTTTAATTAATTAAAATTTCAAAAACATTATTATAAAAATTATAAAAACTTTTATAATTGACTATCAAATTAAATATTGTAATATATATTCCTATTTTAAAAAATTGAATTATTATATATCTTCTTTAAAATAAAAATTATTAATAAAAAAATCGTATAAAAAAATAATGTAAAAATTCAAAAAAAAATAAAAATTTTATAATAAAGAAATTAATTCTTCTTAAATATAAAAATCATAAAAAACAAATTTAAATTTTATAAATATAATATTTTATAATAATCATAAATATTATAATAAAATTAAATTATATAAAATAAATAATTATTTATATTTATATTTTATGAAAAAAATTTAAATAAATAATTATTTTTTACTATATATAAATTATTAATTAATACATTTAATAAATATAATATAATATAAATATATATTATTATTAATATTATTTTATTTCTTTCTTATTAAAAAATAAAATAAATATTTTTGAATATATAATAATTAAAAATAGAAAGAAAAAATTAATATATAATAATTTAATATATATATGCCAAAAAATATATTTAAAAAATAAAAATGAATATATTATTATAAACATCAAATTTAATAAAATATAAATATATTAATTTATTTTTATATATATAAATTATAAAAAAAATCATATTTAATAATTAAATTTAATTAAAAAAAAAAAAAAAAGAATGATTATAATTGTATAAAAAATAAAAATTAAAGAAAAGAAAATAAAATATTTATATATATATATATAAAATATACATAAAAAGTATATATTAAATATATATA